AGACATAAGCCTGAAGGAGCCACTGGCAGCAACTATAATTTTCTTGGGTATTCTTTCCCTGCCTTGAGCGTTGGTTCTATGGATGACAAAAATCTCCCTTCAGACGGGTGGGCTGGAAACTCTGGTGGTTGAGTGTAATTGAAATCTTATAACAATGAAGTAAGGCTCATGGTGTCCATTTTAGAGATGAGAAAAACTGATGCCAGGAGAGCTTAATCTGCTTTGAATCACGGAGAAGTAAGTGAATGCAAGGTCATGTCACTCAAAAACCCACGCTCCAACTTCTGTGCAGAACTTTTACCTGCTCCTGGCAACTGATTGCTTGTAATGTAGGAAGAATCCTAGGAAGGCAGAGTGGAGGGTTGGGAGCTCACATCCCTCAAGGAATATATACTGTCAGGGCCAGCAAGATGTCTCAGCAGGTAAAGTCAATTGCCACCAAAGCCTGACAACTTGCATTTGATCCTGGACCCCACACAGTTGAACAGAAAGTTGTGGCAAATGCATACACAGAGAGAGAGGGGGGAAGGGGAGGGGGAGAGGGAGAGGGAGGGGGAGAGGGAGGGAGACAAATAAATGTAAAATATATATGTTAAAAAGAAGCAACTGGCTCCTGGATGTGAGAGGACAGTCGGTGGGCAGACCTTCCTATATATTGGCAGAACCTTCTATATGCTGATTTTAGCAAATGGCAAAGATTATATTTCAAAGAAGGAAAAGAGCATAGGAGGCTGTCTGAGGGGGAGACTACTTGGAAAAAATACCACTATTCTTTTAGGTGTATTTTTATTTATTTATTTTTTAAAGATAGGATATTACTATGTAGTGCTGGCTGTCCTGGAGCTCGCTATGTACACTCAGCTGGCTCAGAACTGACAGAGATCTGTCTGCCTCTGCCTACTGAGTACTGGGATTAAAGTTTTGCCATCACACCTGTACAAAGTTCTTTTTTATATTAGGTATATATCTTCCTTAGGATTTCAATTGCTATGATGAAACACCATGACCACAAAAGCAAGTTGGGGAGGAAAAGGTTAATTCAGCTTACACTTCCATATTGCTGTTCATCACCAATGGAAGTCAGGATGGGAACAGGGCAGGGACCTGGAAAGAGGAGCTGATGCAGAAGCCATGGAGAGGTGGCTTGTTTCCCCTGGCTTGCTCAGCCTGATTTCTTATAGAGCATAGGCTCCCCAGCCCAGGGATGGCACCTCCCACCATGGGCTGGGCCCTCCCCCATTGGTCACCAATTGAGAAAGTGCCTTAGAGCTAGATCCCATGGAGGCATTTCCTCAACTGAGATTCCTTCCTCTCTGATGCCTTAGCTTGTGTCAAGTTGACACATAAAACCAGCCAGTACATTTATATATAGGAGGGGTCCCCTGTTACCTTTATAGAGGTTGTTTTGTGCAGACTCTGCCCAATGGGAGAGAAGACCTCTTGTCTTCTTTAAACAAACTTACAGTATAAGTTAAAAGAACGTAGGCATGCAGCTTGAAAGCAAGGAGGGTGCCAGGCAGTGATGGCGCATGCCTTTAATAAACACCAGTGCTGAAAGGCCACTGGGATCACCTAAAGAACAAGTCACCCCAGTGGGGAAAGGTGCTCCAAACTTTGACTGTCCCTTTCAGCCTCTTCCTTCCACAGTGTTTCTAACAGTGCCGTCACTGCCTGGAGAAGACAGGAGCATGCATGGGTCTGTAACCCAGCCTTGCTCAGGAGAAGCACTTGGTAACACATGCTAGTTTTACATGTGAACCAGCCTGGCTGCTCCCTTCTCCTGCAGCTCATAGCAGCTCTTCTCTTCTCTCTGATCGTTCCTTCGCCATCCACTGTGTTCAAATTGTTTCTTTGGGTTTATTTTCAGTTGTGCATTTTGACGTATTCGTGATTACTCTCCTTGTTTTCTTTCTTTCCTTTTTTTTTTTTGTTTTTGTTTTTGAGGCAGGGTTTCTCTGTGTAACAGTCCTGGCTGTCTTGGAGCTCACTTTGTAGACCAGGCTGGCCTTGAGCTCACAGAGATCTGCCTGCCTCTGCCTCCCGAGTGCTGGGATCAAAGGCGTGTGCTACCATTGCCCAGTGACAACACTTTGTTTTTCTTTTTTTTAACCACCCAAGCAAGCTCTTACTTCTTTGGAATAAAATAGACTTGGATAGTAAGGGATGTTTATGTATCAATTTATAGCATGTGTTCATATAGGCTATATGATAATTTTAATAACTAACATTTGTTTCTTGAGAGAACTGTATTAAGTTAATGTAAGTTTGGGACAAATTTTAGATGATTTTTTTTCTGAGACAGGGTTTCTCTGTATAGCCCTGGCTGTCCTGGAACTCGATCTGTGGACCAGGCTAGCCTTGAGATCCTCCTGCCTCTGCCTCCCAAGCAGTGGGATTAAAGGTGTGCACCACTACTTCCCGACCACTATTTTTAATGGTACACCTATATTCAGACCTCCTTTCAGTAAATCCAGAGCTTAAGGGTGGGAAACCAGGTGCCCGTTCTACTGACGTTTCGAAGGGCTCCATCGGAAGTGTAGGGGCAGATATGACTTTGAGTCTAACGGGGATCCCACATTGGTGCTTCCTGTGACCTCTGCCCTTTTGTGTTTCAGAGTGTTCTGTCTCTTGGCTGCAAACCATAGAGCATAACCTGGGTATGTGTCTGGGAGTTTGTGCTGGGCAGGGAAGGAGGGCTGACCTCACTAGAAACTGTTCATGAGCAGGGTGGGGGAACAGTGCCAGCATCCCACAGGTTGGTGGGGTGAGCTGGGACTGTGGTGGGTTCTCAACAGATTGCGTTGTAAGGTGCTCCCTCCCTGAGGCTGGGGAGGGGTCCACCTCTCACGGTTTTCCATGCCAACTGTGTGCCAGATGGACTCCTCTAGATTCAGGGTTGCATTTTTGCCCCAGGGGGAAGCCTTAATCACATTTCTCATCATACAGATGGGAAAGCCGAGGCAGGAACATTGTTGGTATTAGCCTCTAAGTCACTGTGGGGACAGGGCATAAGAGTCTGATGGACAAAGCCTCTGCCCCAGGGAAGACGTACCCCACGCACATGATGATTTTTACTGTTTTTTTTATTGAACAAGCACAGACTGCAGGATGCAACCTTAATTTGCATATCATTGAGGAGAAGGAATGAATGATTCTATTTAGCTCATGATGTACATCAACTAAGTCAACACCCAGTTCCAAAGATGCTAGTGTGGGGAAGGTGCCTCTTAGACCTGGTAAAAGGAGAAAAAAATCTTGATAATTATATAAAATTACACATGCAGTATTAAAGCTGGGCTTCCTCTGTCTTCTCTTATCAAATTCCACTCCATAGAGATAAATGTTTATAAATGGCATTTTGGCATGTGTCCTCCCAAACATTTTAACACCTCTGGAAGTATATTTATGTAATAATTACTGTTCCAAACACTTGATCTTTGCAAGGCATGATGCTAAGCTTTTCAATGCATTTTGTTTAATCTTTGCAAAAAGCTCATAAGGCTGGCATGGTCTAGTCCCACAATATAGATGAGGAAACCAAGACAGAGAGGAGAGGCAACTCTCTTGACATCATGCAGCTTCTAAAAGGCAAGACCTGAACTTGAACTCAGGCCTGAGCCCTTCACCAACATGCTACACAGATCCCTTAGTATGCAGGTGTATGTAATTTTAAAAATGGGTCAAAAGAATGTTCTGGAACTTTCTTATGTATTTCTCGTAACTATCCTCCATGGGCGTCTTTCCATGTCAGCGCCTAAAGCACGACTTCATCCTTTCAACAGTTGCTGGGCATCCCATATGACTGTATTTGGATGTGTGTAGCTCTTCTCCTGCAGATGAACACTGGGGTTTCTCCTGCAATATAGGTATCACTGGAATACTATGAAGAACAATTTACACCTCTGTCTTTAGGAACTTCCCCAGGACAATTACCAGGTTGACTTTCATCTATCACTTCCATGGTTTTCATTCTAAAACCAGATTGCAGTCTACCTGCAATCTCTTGCATCTCACACGCCTCGGAGAGGGTGTCGTGTGCATGCTGGTCCCATGGGAACCCCAAAGTGCTGAATAGAGAATGAGGGAAGGTGCCAGCTGTCTTCATGCCTTACTTCCCTTTGGCCCCAGGGCAGGAAGCAAGATGGGCAGAGGGACAAGTCTCAATGTCCATGTTCCCTCCCTGCCCTGGAGGGCCCTTAGCCCTGCATGCTGCTTTCTGAGGAGACTATTAGTAGCTGCTGTCATTTCTGAGTCTCCTGAAACTCAGGCACTGAATACATAATTTCTTATCCAGTCAGCTGGAGAGCGATTGTCTTCAGGGGGAGTCTGAGGCTGGGATGGAAAGGGAATGGCTTTTCAGATTGCTAATGGCAGAGACAGGACACGTCATCATGCCCCTCTTCACTTGGATGTGTGCCCTGCTGAGTCCTGTCATGGCCTGCATGTGTTGTATGTGGCTGACTTCTTTGGTGGTCAACTGGATTCCTGGTCTTCCCATGTGTCTTTGGCCAGTGAAATGTGAACAGAGCATGCCATTTCTGGGCAGCAGAGTTTAAAACTGGGCAGGATTTTCTGTGTCTCCTTGCTTCACTGAACCTTGACATCTCATTTTGAGATGGTGACATCATAAGGTGGTGGCCCCTTGGAGCGAGCGTGAGGAAAAGATCCGTATCTGACCCATGTGTGTGGAAGTGAATCACTGTTCCTATTAACAGCTGAGATAATTTATTACCACAGCTCAGCTTCTGCTGACCCAATCCTTGGTCTCCTTGCTAAGTCTCTCAGCTGCCCCTAACTCTTTCCCCGTGGAGCTTCCTCAGAGAGAGCTTTTGGACTTTAATGAAGACACTGTGGTGAGAAGGATTGGTGTGATCTGAGGCTACAGAGGGGAGAACTCAGACATGGGGGATATAGCTGACCTTTGTCAGAGGGGCCTGGGACTGGCCCCGCCATGTTGGGACACTCTCTGTCTTGACTAACATACATGCTCTCTTTGGTAGGTGGCCCTTCCCCGGGTGGCGGTGCCCCCTGGCACCTCAGGAATGTCCTCAGTGATTCAGTGGAGAGTTCAGATGATGAATTCTTTGATGCTAGAGGTAAGTGAGCTCCGTTTCCACACCACCAGTTGGGTGATCTTTCGAGAAGTCCTAGAAAGTGGATCCCTGCTGAGGCCTAGCACCTTCTCCACCCACACTTGCAGTTTCACACCCCATGCTCAGACAATTGGCGGGACTCGAAATGTTTTTAAAGCTCCTAATGTATGAGAGGTGGTTAGGATACCATGGAATACAGTGGGTTTTCTTGATGCCCTCATAACCATATAGTCTAGCTCGAGAGGCAAACATCACAAGATGATCCAAAGGTCACTGGTGGGTGTAACATCATCAAGTAGCAGCCACATGAGGGAGAATGTAGTCAGGGCACCGGCTTTGATATGGGCAGGATATCCTTCTGCAGAGCCAGGAAGTAGGAGCTTGTCAGGTGAGAAGAAAGAGAGTAGGAAAGACTGAAGAATGTTTTGGGCTCTGAAGGGATGCCCATGTGGTAGTGGTGGTTGGAAATGGTACACCAGGGGAAAAGGAGCGATAGATGAGACTGGTCCTGGATGCCTACAGTATATATGTGGCTTCTACGACAGGTCTCACGGAGATGAGGATCCTCATCAGATAGTGGGCATCCACATGGCACCCAGAGGGACCCAAAGAGTGGCATTTCAGGTAGAGAGAAAACAGGAGTCAAGGTGTGATTGTACCAGGCAGATGCAGGGGCAGGAGGTGAGTCAATCCAGCATTAGGAGAGAAGAGAGGGTAGCTATGCTGAGCCAGGCTGGTGCAAGTGGTGAAAATCCCGGATAGCCTGATCCCAGCTGAAGAGGGTCCCGGTGCCTTCTAGCCTTGTTAGCCCCGCCCCGTGACATCACCAGGGCTAGGGTGTTGATTTATTTGGCATGGGGCTAATTTGAAATGCCTAGTAAACATAATCTTGAAGATAGACAGATGGTGCTAGACAGCATCTAGACCTAGAACATGACAACGGGGACTGGTCTGATCAAGAACCTGACTTTGGCCGGGTGGTGGTGGCGCACGCCTTTAATCCCAGCACTTGGGAGGCAGAGACAGGTGGATCTCTGTGAGTTCGAGACCAAACCTGGTCTACCGATTGAGTTCCAGGACAGGCTCCAAAACAATGCAGAGAAACCCTGTCTCGAAAAACCAAAAAAAAAAAAAAAAAAAAAAAAGAACCTGATTTGTCTTCAGGAATGCCTTTTTCCTTCCTGGGGGGGGGAGCTCTCAGTTTCCCCTATTAGCTCTGTATATCCCCAGTTGTAGAACATTTCCCAAATATTGGGGTTCATGGGATTTCCAGGGAAGCCTGACTGGATGCCAGGGCTGTCCCCACTCAAGGCTTCCGTGTCCTTGGCTCTGGGCAGGGAAACCTCTCCCCAGTGCTGTCCCTAAACCAGCCTGTTGGGGGCTCATTTCCCATCTTCCCTTGGTGTCTGATTGGAGTGGCTGCCAGGGCTGTGTTTCTCCATAGCAACTAGCCCACAGTGTGACAACACAGCTTCAATATTTTGATACGCAGAAGAGTTTCGTTTCAATATTTCTGCAGTTCATCAAGGCTGTGTGTCCCTAGCTGCTATGATGGCGTGCTGCAGGAGGCAAGCATCTGTGGGTAACACCAGGTCAGATCTGTCTTGGGCCTGCTGACCTGTCTGCCTGTGAGCAGCTGAGGGTATTTCCGGCCCCATCCTGGGACCAATGTCTCTCTCAGCTGCCCTAGGTTGTGTCTGTCTCCCCTCCCCAATCTCAGTGAACTTGACCTTCCCATATACTCCCCTGTGTCCATGGCTTATCTCTTTGTCCTTCCCTCCCTTTGTCTGTCTTCTCCTTCTTTTCTACCCTCTATCCCCTGGGAGTCTAGATTCTTCCTCAGGGTGTGGCCCCAAACCCAGATCATATAAGAGCTGGGATGCCTCTCAAGATCTTTTATGTGTGTGTGTGTGTGTGTGTGTGCGAGCAACATGTTTGTATATGTGATATGCTTTTTGTGTGTATGTGTTTGTGTGCAGACAATTGAAGTCAACCTCAAGTGTCATTCTTCAGGTGCCATCCACCTTGATTTTGGAGACAGGACCTTTCATTGGCCTGAGGAATGCCAATTAGACTAGCCAGGCTAGTCAAAGAGTTCCAGAGATCCACTTGTTTCCATCTCCCCAGCTCTGGGATTGCAAATTACTCAGACATCAGGAGTGTTAGAGATCAAACCAAGTTACTCACACAGCAACACTTTACAGCTAAGCCATCTTCACAGTCCCATCCCATTTTACAAGGTGAGAAACTGAGGAAGGGGACTTATTAAGGGCTACAGACTGTAGCAGAGCAGGAGGTAGAATTCTACTTCATTTATCTCTTCCTTCACGGGCATTTTTTGAGTATATGTTCAACCAGTGTTAGGTCCCACCCTCAGTGTAGAGGTTGAAGACAGACTCCATTCCAGTCCTCATGGAGCTATGGCTTAGATAACAGGTGAAAAGGGAGAAGACAATGCACAAACAAATAAAATACATTGAGAACTGCTATAAAAGCAACGCAAAGCAATACACATTTCATTGCAAAGGGTGTTTGAATGGCAAATGAACACATGAAGAATTGCTCAGTACCATCAGCCATCAAGGAACGGCAAATCAAAACTGCAGAAAGGACAGCAAGGGTGGCTCAGCTGGTAAAGTGTTTGCCTTGCAAGTACAAGGACCTGAGTTCAATCCCCAGCAATCCACTTACATGAAGACACCAGGCATTGTTGTGATCCCAGAACTGCGGAGGCCCACAAGAGAGTCCTCAGAGTTCACTGGTCATCCAGTCTAGTCTAATCGATGAGCACCAAACCAGCGAGAGGCTCTGTCTCAAGGAAGTGGACTGTGTTCTTGAGGATGATGCTGAGGTTGTGTATACATGCACACATTAAAAAAACCCCAAGCCTGTGAAGATGGTCGGTGAGGTGGCTCAGTAGGTAAAGGTGCTTGTTGCAAGCCTGCTGACCTGAGTCTGAGAACCATCTCCTGAGAGCTGCCCTCTGACCTCCACACGTGTTCTGTGGTACAAGAGTACCTCTCCATATGCACACAAAATGAACAAATATAAATATAACAAAAAATTTAAAACTGTAATGATACCATTATTAAAATAACTGGCTGAAATGTGGAAGCTTTGTTCTTTTAAACTATTCTTGGAGGAAATGGACAATTTCAGAAAATTGATGGCAGTTACTAAAGAGGGGTGGGGGATGTATCTTAATGTGGAGTATCCCAGCATGCACAAGGGCCTGGGCTTCATCCTGTCCTAACCCCTTCTACTTCTAAGGGGAATGTTACGCCAGTTTAATTTATGCTAGTCCCAATCTGAAAACATTCCAAATGAGAACCAGTGAGCGAATGGATAAACAGGGTCTGGTCTAGAAGAAAGGAATGCAGCAGTGTGGACAACATCAGGATAAGTCACCCTGACAGAAGGCAAGTCCAGCCGAAGCAAAGCACACTGTGTGACTGCCCTGACTAAAAAAAAATCTAGAAAATGCCAAGCAGCCTGGAGGGACAGGAGCAGATCAATGGTCTCTCCGAGTGGGAAGGAGGGTGGAAATAGCAGGAGAAAACTGGCTGTGACGAGTTCGCAATTACTGCCTTGCAGTACTTAAAGTTGTCAAAACATCACATTATCTGTTTCATTTAATTAATTAATTCATTTCTCCCAAATTTTTATTAGGAGATTTAAATTTAAACAATAAAAACTAATGAAAGTTGAAAGGAATCAAGATCAAAGTAAAAACTGTTAGGGATTACTATTCTTGTGACCCATGATATCCAGATGTGAAGTACCTGTTCCTTTTGGGCCTCCTCTCTGGCATCTAAGTACCCACCCCTCCTTCCATGAATATGTATGAACAAGCTGGGCATGGCTTTTACAGGGCCAGTGACTGGGGAAATCTGGAGCCTGATTATATTTAGGTATGCTGGTGCTGGGAAGTCTAATCAAGAACAAAGCAAAGAGACAACCTCCCTCTCACAGGACGCCAACCTTTTGTCTCTTATTCACCTCTATTCTGTTTTTCTTGGTACTCAGGGTTAGGTTAGTCCCCATCTCTGCTTCATTTAAGGCTGGAGGCTGTAGAACTGGATGTTGGGCAGCATTGTCCATTCATAGTTGTAGTCCCTTGCCTTACATAGCAACTAGGAGAAGATGGTGCTGGGTTAATAATCACATTTTACAGAAGACTCTAAGGCAAGACCATCATAGCTCAGGGCAGCTCAGGGCAGGTCTTTTCCTCCTTGGTTAGACTTTGGCTGTGAGCACATGGACTCCCAGAGACTCTAAGTTGGGACAAGAGGGAGAAGAAGACCTGGGCTCTGAGGGCCCAGGTCTTGATCATGGTAGTGCCACTGACTGGCTGCTGTCTGAGCTCAGGCATGTCTCAAATCACTGGCTGGAGTTTTCCTTGAGAAGACAATAGGGATGTAGGCATTTAGTCCATGGATGGAGAGTGAGTAGAGTGGTGATTGTTAGAGAGAGGAACTATTATAGATTCAAACCACGGGGGTCTCTAAGGCCCTGCCCTAATCCCTTGTTAGGGGACTGGAGGGAGGAAGGGCAATGACGCTGCCTTGACGTTTCTGGGGATGGGTAGGGTAAGGATTCAGGCATTACGCTGGCCTGCCCCTGTCACCTGGCAGAATGCACTCAGGCAGTACCCTGGTCAGCCCAGGGTTCTGTGACTAGTAGTCTCCACACAGGTGCAAAGGGCCCCTTTAAAAGACAGACTCCTGCCCACTTACCCCTTTCCCGATGTTCCCCTGGGGGCAGACAGGACTTTTCCCGTCTCCCTCTTCTCTTCTGTCCTCTCTCTGTCTCTGTGTCTCTTTACCTCTTTTTCTCTTTCCTTCCCCCCTTCCCTGTCTAATAAACTTCTCACTAAGCTCTGTCTGCCTGGCATGTCCGTCCCCTCACCTCAGTCACCCTCACCTGCCATGGAATTCATACGCCAAGGTTTCCCTCATGTATTAGTATAACAGGAAGAGTGGGAACCATCATCAAGGTGAGGGAGAATGAGTAGAACATGGAGAAGTCCAGGAGACGAGGTCCGTGTTAGTGCAAGGAGGAGGTGAGGCCCAAGCAACAAGCATCCAGGTCCTGAGACTGATTTAATGGACCTGATATGGGTGATATTGGACAACCAACTAGAGAAGCGACAAGTCCTCCGTTCCATCAGCTGAAGGCTCAGGACAGTCCCTGAGCTCTGGGAAGGAAGAAAGGCTTTCTGATAGCTCTGGAGGCTGGGCTTTCAGGGCACTCCCAGACTTTGATCAGGGGCAGAGCCAGGGCCAGAGCCATGCTAGTTAAGGTCAGAGTTGTACTGATGGTGAGTGAGGCTCAGCATGGAGCTTAGCATGGGGAGGGATTGGAGCTCCACGATGTGCCGTTGATGCCACAGTCATGTCTGCACCAGAGGCTACGTGGGTATGGGAATTAACCTACAAAGGAACAAACACTCAATACTCAGAACAGTCATCTAGACATTTCCTCTGGGGTTCTGTGGGTTCTGTGGGGAGGCAGCTTTACCAGGAAAGCAGGTAGAAGGAGATTGGAGATGGACCTTGTAGCACCTCTGTTCGGAAACACTCTGAACAGAGCCATTTTGCATACTATGCATTCTCTCCCCTCTCTGCTCCCTTCAGCGTGTGTGTGTGTGTGTGTGTGTGTGTGTGTGTGTGTGTGTGTGTGTGTGTGTGTGTGTGTGTGTTTTCTCTCTGGGCCCTGTAGGGGACAAAGCCCATTGTTTCCAGAGTGAATATCTGAAGGCTGAATGTGGAGAGTAGGGACAATCAGAGTTCCAGAGGGAGGGAAAGGCAAGAGACGAAGCAGACAAAGCAGTTTGGAGGGGCGGGCAAGTGAGAGGGAGAGCAGGGCAGAGTGACAGGGAGAGGGAACAACCAGAGGAGATTTGAGAAAGGGAGCAGGAGGGAGAGAGGGGCGAACGCGGCGGAGTGTACATAAGACAGCCAGTGATCCGGAAGAGGAGGGGGCAAAGGGCAGGAAAGCCTTGCATACAGAGTGGGGACTCTAAGTAGGAGGAAGCAAGATCCTGCAGAAGGAATGGAACTCCAAAGACATGAGAGAGATTAAGGAGTGTCTTCCACTCAGAGAAAAGGAGAGACCCAGAGGCAGGGGAGGGGGGACAGATACTGGGGTGTGGTAGAGCAAGGGAGAGACAGTGAGGGAGGCTTGAGAGAGCACAGCCAAGTTCAAGGACCATGGAAGGTACAGGCTCATGGCAAGAGAACCCCCAAAGAGCCCAGGCAGGAGGGAGCATGATGAGTTTGTGAAAGAAAGAAGTTTGACTGAAAACAAGACAAGAGACCAAAAACAAAGGGAGTTGAGCCATATGGAGAACCAGGGAGAGAGAGACAGAAAGGAACAGAAAGTTACACCGAAGTGGCATGCTCAGAGCTAGGGAGCCCTTTCAGACCCAGAAGGCACTGACAGCCTCACATATACCCCTGGGGTGGAATCTCCTGCGCTGGAGGAGTCACTAATTAGCATGAATTAAGCACCTACCTGGCACTGGACCTGGCATCCCATTCTCTGGTCTTCCCACATCATAGTACTTTATGGCGGTGTCCTTCACATCACTGGTTTCCTGTGGGACAGAGGAAGCATCCTACACACACACATCATGTGCTTAGGAGTCTATTTGCTGTAGTATGGTTGTTGAAATGGGCAAAGGAACACTTGCTCGCTTGGGTAACCAATTGAACCAAGAGACAGAATTAAGGCATGCGCCACTGTGCCTGGCTTTGTGGTCCTGCTGCCTCAAGGATAATGCCACCTTATATATTTACAGTGTTTTAGCTTGTGTAATTCTTTCCCGTTTATTATAGTGTTTGTCCCTGTGGCAGCTTGCTAGAAGAGTTGGAAAGCTACCAGCTTTATTGCTGTTTGAGGGACAAGAAGACAGAAGGACCAGTGTGTGTGTGTGTGTGTGTGTGTGTGTGTGTGTGTGTGTGTGTGTGTGTGTTTGTGTGTGTGTGCAAAAACAAAGCTCATAGCTTTTTACAATTGACACCAGAAGTTGGCTAGAGCTCTGCCCAGTATTAGATGCCACTTACAGGTGTGAACTTGTCACCAGAAAGAACACACCTGGCTGAGGAAGCTGTCCAGGTGTGTGGAGCCAGCCGATACAGGATGTCCAGGACAGAGTATTGAGAGGGTAGAAAGTCAGGGTAGGACTTTCTTTACCCATTTTTTTGTGAGATAGATTCTCACTACATAGCCTAGGTTGGTCCAAAACTTATGATCCTCCTACCACAGCTTCCCAAGTGCTGGGATTTTAGATATATGCCACAATGGTAGGCTTAGGGATAACTGAGTGTAGGCTAGTTCCCAGTATATCTGATTTTGAATCTGGGTGCTAGGCAGAAATCTTGAGCATGGATTATTCAACTTCTGTTTTTTTCAGTATTCTTGTCTACAAAATATAGCAATCATTGTTTCTTGTTGTGTGTGTGAGATGTTGTGTGGTGTTTGTAGGATGCATATACTCATTACTGTGGGTTTGCTCATGTGTGTGCTCATGTGGAAACCAGAGGTTGATGTCGGGTGCTTTTTGTCTGAAACTTGGTTTGGCAAGGCTTTTTGGTCAAGAAGCTTCAGGATCCACCTGTCTCTCTGTCCTACAACTTCCAGCTCTGGGCTTGCAGGCATGTGATGTCATTTTTTTTTGTAGGTTCTGGTAATCTGAACTCATGTCTTCATGCTTGTGTAGCAGGATGTTATTGACAAAGCCATTTCTAGCCCCATTATTAGTCCCATTTTTATGAGAATTTAATTAGTTTTCTTTTTGTTTTTGCTTGATGTGGTTTGAGAGAGGGTTTTATGAAGTCTGGACTAGGCTTGAATTCACTATGTAACCAAAGCTGCCTTGAACTTCTGATCTCCTGCCTTCACCTTCTGAGTGCTAGGATTGCAGACATGCACCACCACGTTTAGCTTATGAGTTAATATTTGTAAATCACATCACTAGTAAAAGCCTCATAAGGACTGTTAAACCAATCAAGTAAATAACACAATAAGGCAGGAGGCGTTTTCAGACATGAGATCTGGATTACTGAGTGCCAGTGTGAGTCGGAATGCTGGACAGCTCCCCAAACCTTTCAGTCCACTATGCAGGTTGCTAGAGAAACCTTCTGACAGAGAGGCAGATATCAGCTTTTATTCTTCATTATCCTGAACCTGGGGATTCTTCTCAACATCCTTGCTGTCTGTAATGTGAAGGGAGGCACAAAGCTCTTCACCACAAGGGCTCATCTTGGGGTGGGCGCTGGCAGTAAGAAGCGTGTCTGTTCCCACGGGTGTGCTCTTAGACAAATGTTCCTTCCCATGATGAGGGATTGTGTCACATGGGCCACAACCCAGAGGCTTGTGTATGGTGTGGACGGGGACATGCCCCACTGATTCTTCCTAGAATGATCATTAAGGACAGAGATAGGGCTGAGGGGAGTTGAGCAGTGAATGGAGACATTAAAAGGTTCCCGTAGTTGAGATGGAAGCTAAGGTCTCCAAACAGTTCATACAGCTTAGAACCAGAAGGCTTTCCTCACCTTTACCTCAGAGCTGCACCAGCAGCCCTCCACTCCCAGGCAGCCTAAGCCCTGCTTGTGAGTGACTTGTCAGGAGATGAAATGAGCACAGTGGCTCTTATCTCTGGGTCTCCTCTGTGCACCAAGACTCTGAAACCCTTCACCTCATCTGATCCTCCCCAGGACCCTGTGAGTTGGACATTGCCTGTCTCATTTTACTGATGGGAAAGTGGAGGTTCATAGAAATCCAGTCACATTCCTGAAGAAAAATTATGGGCAAATCATGAGTTTTTGGTCCTTTCTTTCCAAGAAATGCTAGTCTCCATTCTAGGAGTGGATGACTGCCTCGTTGTCACTTTCTTTTGCTATAGCACATAGGACCCTGGTGAGTCACAGCATCAAGGCATGGTTGCAATGAAAAATTCCTCAATAGTTTAGTCCTGTAGATGAAGATACTTTCAGCAGTCAAAGTCTTGGGTGGAGGATGAAGCTTAGTGGTAGAGCACTTGTCTGCCATGTGCAAGGCCCCGGGTTCCATCTCTATCACTGCAAAAGAAAATGATCAAGTCTGTTTCAACTTATGGGTGAAATGAGTACCCCCTCAGACACCAGCTACCCAACCCTGTCTGCTAATATCCATCTCTCCCCTTCCCTCAGAGGAGGTGGCTGAAGGTAAGAGCGCCATCCTTATTGGAATGAGCCAGTGGAGCTCCAATGACCTGGTGGAGCAGATCGAGACCATGGGGAAGCTGGATGAGCATCAAGGTGAGCCTCTGCCTCCCCCAAGACCTTTCTGTGCGTGCGTGCGTGCGTGCGTGTGTGTGTGTGTGTGTGTGTGTGTGTGTGTGTGTGTGTTACAGGGTGGGGGTGGAGGCTGCCATTGTGCCTGGGACCTCTGGGGGGGACATCTCTGGGGCTGCCTAGGGCAAAATGACTCCAGGGCACTTCAACAGGATACTTTCTTTGTTTATAGAGTGGCACTCAGGAGCCATGGGTAATTAAGGGCAATCTAGGCCAAACTGTTAGAGTTCTAGGTCTGTGAGGACTGAGATCATTTAGATAAGATAGGCTCCCAGGAACTAACCTACTCACAAGACCTGTATGAATCCCTTCCCAAGGCAGTCACAGCCCAATCACTCTCTACCAAGCTCCATCTTTAAGAGGTTTCACGATCTCCATGCTGTTACACTGGGGACTAAGCTCCCAGCTCATGAACCTTTGGGAACAAATACATCCAATCCCTAACATTCATTTCATTTTCCCAATACTTTTTGGCCTTGATACTGGACAGTTTCAGTCTGGGCAAGCCAGAGTTGCCAGGTAGCCACAGCCATCCTATCAGGAGCTATCCAGAGAAGGTGGTGTTGACTCAGCCCAGGAAAGTGACCATCTTGCCCCAGGGTTCACTCCTTTTCTTATCTCATATCCCTTCTCTTTGGGCCAGAGCTTGTCCCATGCAGAAATACCTATCCTGAGAGATGAGTAGGCTCAAGCTATAGTTCTCATTTTATGAATGAAGAATCTATGAGAAGCTGGGCCTGGGTCTTATTTAAGGTCCTTCTAGACTGGGACTCTTTAAATTGGCTTTAGGGGCCAGATGAAGACTAGATCCTTCCTTGAGTGTGACAGTAATCTAGGGACCATTTTTTTTTTTTTTTTGGTTTTACGAGACAGGGTTTCTCTGTATTGTTTTGGAGGCTGTCGGTCCAGCCTGGCCTCGAACAGAGATCCACCTGCCTCTGCCTCCCGAGTGCTGGGATTAAAGGCGTGCACCACCACTGCCCGGCATCTAGGGACCATTTAAAGACGTGGTCCTACTGATCTGAGAGACAGTGCCCCAGCCATGTAATTTTTTGCACATGGGTCCCCAGTCTGCTCTTTGCTTCACCCCAGGAGCTCAGAAAGAATCCAGAATGGGTCACAAATTCTGGATCCCCCGCTCCAACCATGCTTGGTAGCCACAAAAAAGACAAACCCAGGTTTGCACTCACCACTCAGTTGGCCTTCCCTCCTCCCTTCCACCCACCCCCACCTGTCTGCTGAGGCTTGTGTGACTCAGACCCAGTGTGAGCTCAGCAGGGGTGAGGGAGAGGCAGTGTGAGCTGTAAGGGTGGCATGGTGGTGGTGGGGAGGGGTGTAAGGGAGAAGGAAGCAGAAGGGAGGTTCATAGGTCAGGCAGAGCCTCCGAAGTATAAGGCCTGGGCAGGAGCCTCAGTCCTGCCACAACCTAGTACCTCCCTGAGTCTTGGTTTCTTCAGCTGCAGTGTGGGGGTAGAGTAATAACGATGTGAGGATTATGAGATAATACTTGCAAAAAAATACCCTTGCACTCAGGTCATTATAACAATGGAGCGAACAGTCTTGTACTTCATCATTATGCTCCTGCCTGCTTCAGGGTTTCTACCCTTCCACTCACACCTCATCCCTAGGACCCCTTTCATGGTAGTGCCTGGCTGATTATCTTTCTTCTATCTAAGACCTCTTAGGAGCTCCAGACTCCTGTTTGTTGGCAGCGCTCTGTCTGCATGGCCAAAAGACTCCTTATGCTCTGCGACTTCTGAATGCAGCTGACCTTCCTCTGCCTCTTGAATTATCTTGAATTATCTGTGTTTTCTGGCCATCACCATTTCTATCATGCCAGACAGGCACTTCTTGGCTATTCTAATGTCCAGACCTTGAGGGTGCTGACTCTGGGGAGAGTGTACCTGTGTGCATGTGCTCCTGAGTAGTTGTTGTTATGGTCGTCGTCATTCTCCTCCTCCTCCTCCTCCTCCTCCTCCTCCTCCTCCTCCTCCTCCTCCTCCTCCTTCTTTTTAAATTGTGAGCACATTTTGGACACCCAGTTGTCTGTTCTGTGGATTTCTTCATTTTCTAGACTATTCACATGTTCCTAGAGAGACCAAAATCAGTTTTTTTTAATGACAGGGTCTCTCTGTGTGGTTCTTGCTCTCCTGGGACTCACTCTGTAGATCAGGCTGATCTCAAACTCACAGAGATCCTCCTGCCTCTTCCTCCTCAGTGCTGGGATTAAAGGCATGTGCTACCACACCTAGCTGGTCTTGTTTTTCTTTCTCTGAACTGGAGAGTTTCACTCACCTTGAATATTTTTATGCTAAATTTGCAGTTCACAGTTTCTATTCCCCATGGGTGGTATAAATTTAGACCCCACACCCACAAGTGGCACAGCCTTAGGGTGTTAATTACTCGTATGTGACTTTTTCTTTCTCACTGTCTGTGAATGGCTTTTTTGCTGCTGCCCCAAAGGAATGGTGTCTGAGTATGTGGGTATGTGTATGTGAGTTTGTGTGTATATATTTATGAGTACATGTATGTGTTTGTGTGTATGTTTATGTTGTGTGCATATATATGTATATGTGTCTGTGTTTGTATGCATATTTGTTTGTATGTGTGTGCATTGTATAAGTATTTGTGTGTATAAGTGTTTGTATGTATGTGTGTGTATTTGGGTGTGTGTGCTCATTGTGAATATTCCTTTATGGATGTCACATCCCTTCAAGGATATACTTTAGCTCCTCACCATCCACAAACTGGGGTCAAGTCTGGTGTTGGCAGTTTGTACTCAGCCCCTAGCCTGGGAGCCTCCATCAGTGGGTTTCCAGGATCCCGGGTCTGCATGTGATGCTGTTGTCTTCCTCTCTGGTGCACTTCTGTCTTTGCTTCCGCCCTTTGCCTGTCACCACTCTTTATTATATATATATATTATATATCCACATTACGGGTGATGTGTATTTCACCAAAAGGAGACCCTTCAATGGTAGCCCTGTGTGCTTTAGTTATTATTGTTTGACCATTACTTGTCCTATTTTTCCTTAGCATTTTTTATTGCAGTAAAATCCACATAGCATAAAATACACTTTTTAAAATAAGCTAAGTGTCTGGTTCAGTAGCATGAAGTCACATGGCTGTCTGGCTGTCACCATGCATCTCTGGGACTTTGTTACCATTCCAGACTGACACACTGTATTGAGCACCAATCCTCACTCCTCTGCCCCTGACAAATAGCAGGCTGCCTTCCGTCTCTTCTCCAGGTCCCTCAGAAGTAAGATCATACAGTGTTTGTCCTTTTGTGTCTGGCTTTTATCATTAGCATAATGTTTTTGAGATTAATCCATGTTGTGGCATGAATCAGGACTTTATTCCATTTTGTGGCCGAATAATTTTCCATTGTATATACCCATTGTGTTTGTCCATTCATCTGTTGATGGACATTCAGGTTGTTTCCATTTTTTACCTATTGTAACTAATGCAGCTGGGAACATTAGTGTACAGATATCCACCTTCTTTCTTAAATATATTCTTGTTAGAAGAAAATCAAACAGTTAAAAAAAAGCCAAAGTCTTCCTTCCACCAAAGACCTCATTGTACAGCTTTCCAACGTGCGTAGTTCAATGGCACAAATTAGACATTAGTGTTGCAAATCACCTTTTTTTAAAACTTAAAAGCCTTGGAGAGTTTTTTTAAAAAGGGAAACAGACTCATCCCATTCTTTCTACTTGCACTCTTGCATAATAGTTGCACCATCATTTACATAAACCTTCTGTAGTGACAGACATTTTTCATTATTAAAAGAATGTTTAAAGATTTATTTTTTAAAATTATGTATACTGTGTATGTTTATATGTGGGTATATACACATGCGTGCAAGTACCCATAGAGGTCAGAAGAGGGCACCAGGTCTCCTGGAACTGGAGCTACAGGTGGTTGTGTTATTCCTGACATGGATGCTGGGAACCAAACTCAGGTCCTCTGCAAGAGCAGTGTACACTCTCAGCTGCTGAGCTCTCTCTTTCTAGCCCCACTTCTGGATTTATTATTAGTGTTAGTATTAGTTATTAGCATTGGTATTAACATTATTATGTATGTTGAAACAGCATCAGACTGTCCTGGGTCTTGGAACTCACTATATAGACCTGATTGGCCTTGAACTCACAGAGATCTGCCTGCCTCTGGCGCCAGAGTTCTTGATTTTCTTAAACACATTTTTTTGTCCATCTCCTATTGGAATATTTGTCCTTTGCTTATATTGACAAGGAAGCCTTCATATATTCTGGATGTAACTTATAAAAAAGATTTATTTATTTATTATGTATGCAGTATTCTGCCTGCATGCATGCCTGCAGGCCAGCAGAAGGCACCAGATCTCATTACAGATGGTTGTGAGCCACCTTGTGGTTGCTGGGAATTGAACTCAGGACCTATCTATGGAAGAACAGCCAGTGCTCTTAACCGCTGAACCATATCTCCTGCCCTGGATGTAACTTTTTTCTGTTAATGAATTAGTTGCTTTTCTCATAACTGCGACTCAGGCCTGACAGAAGTATCTTAAAGGAGGAAAGGAAAGGTTATTTTGTGTCAGGGGATACAATCTATCATGTTTGAAAAGGGACCACACCTTCCTGGGTCAAGAAATGGAGAAAGGAACATGTCGGGACTCAGCTGGCTTTTTCTTTTTTTTTTTAAACAAGTATCTATGTGTGTGGTATGTGTGCAAGTGTGTCTGCATGTTTATATATGTCATATGTGTATACACACACACACACACACAGATGTGAAACCAGAGTTTGATATCAGGTGCCTTTCTCAATCATTTTCTACCTTATATATTGAGGCAGGGGTTTCTCGGAGTTTACTCATCTGGTTAGTCTGGCTAGCTAGGCTCCTGGGGGCTGATATCACAGGCAGGCTGCCATGCCCACCCACATTTATGTAAGTGCTGAGGATCTGAACTCAGGTCCTCACACTTG